TTACTGATTTAAACTCCTTATTATTTTGTGTTGTCTTCCACACCACAGATGTTGCTCAGTGACAGGTTAATAACTTTTCAGTCTTATCAGAGGCTGAAGTTCTTGTCACATAACTTCTTTTTAAATTAATAACAATTTGGGGGGTCGGGATTTAGCTCAGTGGTTCCGCTGCCTGCCTCGCAAGCGCAAGGTCCCAAGTTCAATCACTGGTGTCAAAAAAAAAAATTAAGAACATTATAGTAAGGAAGTCTTTTCTGCTTTAAATTGTTATTTTTATACCCCTCCAGTTAAAGTTACAACTACCTGATTGTCAGATATCACTCTTAGCAGTGAGTGACTTCTAAAAGGCACCACAATAAACAGTGGCTTAGTACACGTTTTAGAATAATTTTAGAGTTACTGAAAAGTTACAGAGCCCGTATAGAGTCCTCGTGTAACCAGTTCCTCCCCTTGTTAGCCACTTACATTTTCATGGGCACTTGTTGAAGACATCAGCACTGTTCTGTGACTGTGAACCACACCCCAGACACGATGTGAACTCATCAGCTTCTCTACTGTTCCAGAGTCCGGTCTTGGCTACTGCATCACACTTATTTTCTGTCATGTTTTCCATTCTCCTCTGGTCTGTGACAGTTGCTTAGTCATCTGTATTTTTTTTCTTTTTGGTACTGGGGATCGAACTTGGGTCCTTGTGCTTGTGCAGCAGGCAACCAAACCACTGAGCTAAGTCCCTGGTCCCAGGCATCTGTATTTTTAATGAGTCCTGATAGTCTTGAAAAATCCTGGCAGGAATACTGTAAAATGTTCCCTAATCTGAACTTGCCTGATGTCTTCTCATGACTAGACTGCTGTTATGTTTCAAATGACAGGGATGATGTGCTCTGTAACAGGGTATAACCCTATAACCTCATATTCGCCCAACATCACCAGCGACATTAATGTTAATCACTTGGTTAAATACTGTTTACCGGGTTTTTCTATGGTGAAGTTGCTGTTTTTCCCTTTCCCTGCTCAATTTTCTGGAAACGTATGGAGTAGGGTTAGGGTGGGGCGAGACAATTAAACTCCACTTCTTGGGACGGGAAGTAGATGTGTATTTATTTGGAATTCTTTAAGAAACTTTTCTCTCCTTCCCCATGTATTTAGTCATTCATGTATATCACTATGGAGTCATGTGTATGTTACATTTTGGGTTATAATCTAATACAGTGTTACTTATTTTATGACTGAAATTATTCCAACTTTAGCCTGAAGGAGCCTTTTGACATGCACTTATCTTTCTGTTCTTTGGCTACAGTACTTCCTTTTTGGTACTATGAAATACTTCAGGTTCATCATGTGTATTCCACAGCCTGTCCCTAAATTCAGCCATTTCTCCAAGAAGCCCTTGTTCTTTTTACTGGAGAATGATATTTAGAAACTAGAAACTGGGCACTGGTTGTGTTGTGTTCATTGCTATATGTCTTTACTTATAGGTCCTTTCAGCAGACAGCTAGCTTATATCAAACACATGCATACTTGTCTGTGGACATATCTGTCAGTTTCTGTATTTCATCAGCACATACATTAAGCAACCATAAATCAATGTTGATGTCTCTGGCTTTAATCCAGTATCACAGGGTTAATTTTATTTTTTTTATTATATATATTTATTTATTTAGAGACAGGGTCTCACTGTGTAGTTCACACTGGCCTTGAACTAACTATGTACCCCAGGCTGGCCTCGAACATGCAGCAGCCCTCCTGTCTCAGCCTCCAGAGTGCTGGGATTACAGGTGTATGACACTACACCCAGCTCCATAGGGTTCATTTTAGAAAGCCTTTCTTACTTGTCTTCTACCAGGAGAAGCCTAGCTCTTGCCATCTATCCACTTCCTTCTTTGTTTGACCCCAGTATACATATATAGAAGTTTTCAGAATTGTTAACCCTTTTCTTCAAGAGAAACAGATTTACTAATTGAGACTGTTATGTTGATTTTTAACAGTTCTATTTTACTGTACAAATTGGTGATGTTTGTGCCTGTTATGCTGTGATTTCACTTATGAGGTTAATTTTTAGATATATGCAGATTTATAAAGCATTCTTGCTATGATCTGAGATGTCTTTGTACATCAGTGTGGTTTGTTAAGATTATGGACATGGGCTCCAAGTAAAACATACTGCTTTTACCCTATACTTCTGGTAGTTTGGTTATGTTCTTTTTTAGTAATTTATTATATATTTCTACAAAAGGAAGTTTATAAATAACTGGCTTCTCAAATGACCTTCCTTTCACAGCTTCTGTGTAGAAACATAGCAACAACCAAGGCCGAGAGAGATGGCTTAAATGTGATAAGACCAAGTGAGTTATGTAAGAAGCTTTCGATCTCAAAGCCAGGGGAAGAAATATCATTAGTCCCATTTCCTGGTAATGTCAGGCTTTCAGGAGATGGTCCATTCTCATCAGCATTTTGTTTCCTGAGCTAAGAGAACAAAGCATATGACTCATAGCTAAGTGTACTGAACTATCACATACTTCTGATCCTCCTGCCTCGGCCTTCCAGAGGGCTGGAATTACAGGAATGTACCACCATGCCTGGCTTAGTAATGAGTTATTTTTTATACTTTTTTTTTTTTTATTTTTTGGTACTGGGGATCGAGCTCAGGATCTTGCGCTTTCGAGGCAGGCTCAGTGATTGCACCGCCTGCCTCTCAAGCACAAGGACCCGAGTTGGATCCCTGGTACCAAAAAAAAAACCCCAAAAAACAAAACCAAGAAACAGCCTGATGGGAGACAGAGAAGTAGGAATAATGTACTATAAGAGAGGGCGTGTCCGTGTGGGGAAATGAACAGCAGTGATGGAATGCTGCCTCTGCTCAAAAGCTAGGGTGGGAGGCAGGAGTGACTCCCCCAGTCTGCCCACCCCTGGATTATTCCGTAAGCCCTGGCATGCTGGTTTAGGAGTTTAACTGAGTGTTGAATACAAGTCCTCTGGCCCACCACCCCGGCACATGTAATCGAAGTGCATGCCCTATGTATAGTGTCAGATTAGAGCTTGAACATGTCTCTGGTACTAGTTTGCATGAAGATTCCCATTTTCTTTAATGATAAGTATGTCTGGAATACATGGCTGTGGCTCTGAGTCATCTAGTGCTGCTGCCAGTTGCTAATTCCAGAAGTGAACAGCAGGTGTCATTGCTTCTCCACTAACAAGAGTCTGGCTTTAGCCATTCTCAGTGCAGCTTCAAAATCACTGAGTTAGTCATACTGCTGTATGACAGTCTGAGATGCCGCCTTCTGATCGAGAGCCCAAATTAAAAATAGAGAGTAGGGCCAAGCATTTAGCTTGGTGTTGCCATGCCTGCCTCACAAGCGCAAAGTCCTGAGTTTGATCCCTGGTACCAAAAAATATATATGAAAAATGGAGAGTAAACACAGCCTAAGAGGCCATTTCTCCATTTCTTTCATTGTCCTTTGTAGTGTATATGTTCTAGACTTACGTATTACCTTTATGTCCAGGTAGCTAAATGGATGGTAAATGTATTTGCCTTTCAACAGCAATTTAGCAGCCTGGATAGTTTGCCACATTTGTTTTTGTTTGTTTGTTTGGTTGGTTGGTTTTTTATTTGTTTGTTTGTTTGTTTTTTGTACCAGGGATCGAACTCAGGACCTTGTGCTTGCGAGGCAAGTGGCGGCACCACTGAGCTAAATCCCCGGCCCTCACATTTGTTCTTTGGGGGGTTTTGTTTTGTTGGGTTTTTTGAGACAGGGTCTTGCTGTGCAGCTCAGGCTGGCCTTGAACCCACAGCAATCCTTCTGCCTCAGCCTTCTGAGTGCTGAGATTACAGGTGTGTGCCACCATCCCCAGCTTCACATTTGTTTTCTCCAGAATTCACCCACTTAGAAGCATCTTGGCCCTTCTGTTGCTTAATTTTTGAAAAACTTCAGGAATGTAGATGCCAGTATCCCCCGAAGTGAGGGGCTGAACAACAAAGAAAGCTACTTCTTTCTTTTTCTGTTTGAACCCTTAGCTTTGGCATTTGAGGAAGTCAGGAATACAATTGTGACCAGGTGTTTTGGGGTGAATCTTTTTAAAAAAGACTTGTGGTTTCATTGTAGGTAGGTAGTAGAGTTTCCCTGTATTACAGAAAGGCAAAGTTGGTGATGAATTGAGTTACTTTAGAAAGTGCAGAGCATACCAAATTTGACAGGTATTTTGATCAGAGATTGAGAAAATACCCAGGGTGATAATGTCTTAGTTTGTTTAAGTTAGTGCTGTTTTCCACTTATTTCTTGGTATAATTTTTTTTTTTTTTTTTTGGTACCGAAGATCGAACTCGGGTCCTTGCCCTTGCGTAGCAGGCATTGAAATCACTGAGCTAAATCCCTGGCCCTCTTGGTATGCTTATTAATAGCTCCCTCCTTCCCTCTCAGTTGTCCCAGTTTGAACAACATGTGATCACTCTAGATTCCTGTCAAAAGAGAGAGGGGTACTCAAAAATTGTGATTCTAGTAATGTTAATCATTTTTGACTTGAGAATTAGCCCTTCCCTATATTTTCTGAGTTAAACATATGCAAAATAAAGCAGAATCCACAAAGAACTGTGAGTTCTGGGAACAGTTGTTTTTAGGTTTCTATCATTATTCTTTGGAGTAATGATTTCTAAATATATCTGTGCATCAGAATCAACTGGAAGCTTTTTACAAATAGAATTTCACAGATTTCACTAGACATCTGTACCAGGATTTGTAACTGACATTACCAAATATGTAGAAATGCATGCAATAAAAATGCTCTTGGCAAGTTTTGTCTGAGCTTTTTAAAAACTGTCTAGGTGGGCCGGGGATTTAGCTCAGTGGCACTGCACCTGCCTCACAAGCACAAGGTCCTGAGTTCGAGCCCCGATACCAAAAAAAAGATCATGTAGGTGCTTTCTTCCTGTGAATTTGGTGCTAGGAGTGCTAAGGCCGCCCTGGCCTCAGCTGCCTGCATTGATAAGCATCTCCTTTTCGTTTCAGATGTCATCTGGGTGATTCTCAGTGTGGAGGTGGGTGGACTTTTAGGAGTAACACAGCAGCTGTCATCTTTTGAAACGGAGTTCAACACACAGCCGCATCGCAAGGTAGAAGGAAACTTCAACCCATTTGCCTCTCCCCAAAAGAACCGACAATCAGATGAAAACAACTTAAAAGACCCTGGGGGTTCCGGGTTCGACTCGATCAGCAAAAACACATGGGCTCCTGCTCCTGACCAAACCGAGCAAGATCAGGACAGACTCTCACAGAACTCTGTAAATCTGTCCCCCAGCAGTCACGCAAACAACTTATCAGTAGTGACTTACAGTAAGGTAGGTGCCCTTGGAGAAGAGGACAAGGGGTAGGTGGTGGGTCTTGGGATCTGTGCTACCCTTCGTGGCAAGGTACACGCCTAGACTGCCACTCCCAGAGGCACATCTAAGACTCCTTAGCTCTCCTGCCAACAACAGCAGCACAGAAGCTCTCCCTTCTCCACCCATGCCTGTGGATGTCGCTTTGTCCACACTTGCAATTCACTCCTGTCTCTCTGCTTTGGTTTGGGTGTTGAAAGGCCAGGTTCTTTACCTTTAGCATTAAAACAAATATCAAAATATCACCAAGCCATCCTTCTAGTGTAAATGTATACAAAGCTTAGAGTACCAACAGCACACTTTGGAATTGGTTCCTACTTTGGGTTTATTGTTTTGTTTGTGGGAGGGTTCTCCCTGAGTAAGAAGACAAAACTCAAGTTACTCTGTCCTGAATGGTACTGTTGCTGGGCTTCACTTCATCTCCCTGCCTGCACCTCTCCTATTGGGCCCATTCACTTCCTCACCCACAGCTCATGTGGCTCAGGTGATATGAGAATAATGAGTATTTTTAACGGTGATTTTAAGTGTTGAGTGTTGTGAGACAACTTTTCTAGTGTTCTGACTCAGTCCCTGTCTCCACTGCGCTGAGCTGTGGTGGTTCCCCGTTGTTGGTTTGGTGGCTAGAGTGAAGCCCTGATGCTGAGCGTGGGTTAGATGGTTGGCGGCTGTCCTGGGAGCCTCCCTGTGCACCTACCCTGGTGAGCGGTGCTGTGCAGTGGAGCTGACAGCGTGCTTGCGTTGATCACATCAACCCTAACCCTGTCTTGGCTTCACGCTGGCATCAGCTTTCAGTTTTTTGGAGAAAATTGCTTATTCGACAGGCAATTGGCTCTGTTGTAAGAATGGTCCTTTTGTGATCAGCAGTTTGTATATGGCCTGGATCAAGTTACAACCAAAGAAACCTAGTGAGATGAGTCCTCTCTGCACATGGCGGGACGAGAGGGACTTCATTTAGTGACACTAAGAGAGTGAAGGATTGGTTGGTTGTTTGTTGGATGGTTATTACAGAGGATTTTGTGCAGTTAGTTGTACAAGATATGAGAGGTAAATTGGCAAGGCAGCAAACTGCCTGTATTGAGGAAAAACTTCACATCTTAACACTCCAATAAATAAAAGATTTTCTTCTAAGCTCCTATTTCTCCAGTTTTTTCCTTTCATAAATGTAACCCTCCAGAGTGTGTGTGTGTTCTGGGTGGCAAATAAGCCAGCCCGAGGCTGAGCAGGCCTTGTTAGAATGGAAAAATAAGGCACCTAAGTTGATGGAGGTGAAATCAGTAGCCTGGCTGCTTTGTGGACTGAAGCTGCTTTGCTCATCTGTGAGCCTTCTGGCTGAGCTGTCGCTGTGGTCTTGGGAGAGGTTGCTGATCCTGGCCTGTGCACCATGCTCATCTATCAAGAAATAAATCTGATAGTTGCTGTCTTTCCTTTAGGCACTGATGCCTTTTTCTGTTGGTCCAGTACTTAAGAGTAAACCAAACACCTCTTTTCTATTCTTTTTTTTTTTTTGGTACCGGGGATCGAACTCAGGTCCTTGGGCTTGTGCAGCAGGCAGCGAAACCACTGAGCTAAATCCCTGGCCCCACCTCTTTTCTATTCTTAAGGAAGCCTAAGGGCTGTCAGGGAGGGGAGTCCATGAAGGAAGTGTATGCTGACCTGCTCCCAGGAGTCCTGTCTGGCTTCTTGCTTTTGTCAGAAATTGGAATGAAGGTTAGGCACTTTATTAATTAACCCTTTTATCATGGTAGCTAGTGCCAGAGCCTCAGGTACCAACAGTCATGCAGCTTACTGCTCACTCTTGACTCAGTCTGAGGTGAGTTCTAGCACTCTGACTCATCCTGGGGCCAGGGCAGCTTCTGTTTAGACAGTGTAAGAGTAATGTGCAATACATTTTCGAGGCAGAGGAGAAGGACAGAACACCCTGTTAAAATTAGGTTTGTCTTTTTCTTGTACATAAGCTAGTCATTTTTAAAATCTCTGGATGTTTTCTTCTTTTTTTTTTGGTACCAGGTATCAAACTCTGGACCTTGCGCTTGTGAGGCAGGCAGCAGCACTACTGAGCTAAATCCCCAGCCATAAATTCATTTTTTTAAACTTGGCTGTTATTTTGTTTTTATTCTCATCTTAAAAAATGTGTGAGGCTGATACATGCCATATACTTCTAGTTTAAACTGGGTTACAATCTGAGCCACTGTTATTACTTCCGCCAAGCGCTGGTTCAGAAGGAGAAATGTGTTATATCTGTGGAGGGAATGCATCCCACTGCTCTAGCTCTGCATCAGCCACTGCTGAGCACCATTTGCCCTACTTGCCCCATCCATTTGCTCTTCCCTGACTCGGTGGAGCTGCGGCAGGAGTCAGTCTGCCTCTGTCGCGTCAGAAATCACTGTTATCCTATGCTCTCTCTTGGCTTGTGCATAGATGAGTTGTTTTCTTTCCATCCAGGCAAGAGTTTACACTTGGGGGGGGTAACAGAAGAGGTTGGAAAAGGCAGATCTTACACTGTCTGAAGACCTGAAAGCTTTGTGGCTGAAGTAACCAGTAAATTTAATGTAATAAAGCTGATCCTCGGGGTGACTTGGTTGAATTAGTTCTAATATTTGCCTAGTTCCCAGGGCACTGAGTTCAACCAGAAGGCAGGTGGTTGGTTTCCTTAGCTGGGCTAATGGTTATGTGAGATGTTAGCGGGCACCACTGTAACCTTTCCTCTGCTGTGAAACCTCAGAGTCTTCTTCATTCTCACATGTAGATCCTTTCCTGAAAGGTTTAAAGGTGGTCCACTGAGAAGATGGAAGGAAAACTTACATCACTTGATATTTTATCCAGCCTGTGCTCTCTTTCAGCAAGGAACAGGTAACAAAAAATACTATTTCTAGGCCAGTGAAAGTGCAATGGCCAGAGCTGTAAAACTGCCACTTGCTGTGCACTTTGTGCCTACCAGGCACTGTGCTGAGGACTTTTTAATTGTTGAAATTATGGGTGCATAAAAGAAGAAGCTGAGCAGTTTTACAGAACTTAGGACAATCCACCTGTTTGTTTCCCAGAGGCAGCAGACTTGGGTCTGTTTTTTTTTTGGTACCGGGCATCGAACTCGGGACCTTGCGCTTGCGAGGCAGGCACCAGAACCACTGAGCTAAATCCCCACCCCAAGGCTCAGTTCTTGACATGCGTTGCTCCATTTAGTAAACCCAACAGCTCCATGATGTGGACACTGCTGTTATTCCTCCCTTGGTTCCCGAGCCTGAGTCCATGGGCAAGGAGCTGGAAAGCAGTAAGACCAGGATGTGAGCAGAAGCAGCCCTTACTGGCTCCTAAACCTGCTGTCTCTGAACCTTGCCTTCTAGCTTCCTAGCTGCAGTGTTCAAGTACACATTAGCCAAGCTCATAACGGTGGGCTTTCTGTAGATTATAGCTACATTTCAGGTGACGATTGAGGCAGTTATTGACCAAATTATTATGTGACTTCTCCACTAGTAAGCCTTATCTCCTCACAAACTACTTCTCTCTCTCGGAGGAAGGGAAAAGATTTTCTAGAAACCTTCATAGGCACTTGGGTGTAAATTTTGTTGGTGTTGTAATTTTCATTATTCTCACAACAGCAACACCCTGTAGCTCTTTGAAGTCACAAAAAGCGTATCTGTACTCCTTGTGACCAAAAGATAACAGTCTCTGTGGTGGTATTTTTCTGGAAGGAATTTCAAGTTTTCCCTTGAACATACTAAGTATTTAGAGTTAGAACATAGTTAGAGGTTTGGCCCACTTTCCCTTTAAAGTTGGGTATTATTTCTGCAAAGGCTCTTTGGAGAATGAATATTTTAGGCCGAGGAGGGACACACAGTATAAGCCCTGAGGTAGAAATTTGTCCAGTGCAGTGTGTTCAAGGAATAGAAAGAAGGATGACCAGAGCGAGACGGGGAGTAAAAGATGAAGTCAAGGGGCAGAACCAGATCACAGAGGGCTTACTGGACCTGTGGAGGCGGGGCTGCTGCTCTGAGGAAGCAAGGGAACCAGTAGAGGATGCTGAGCGGAGGGTGCTGCGGCCTGACCTGATGCTGTGAAAGGGTCTCTGGCCTCCTGTGTGGCCAGGGGACGGAGGGAAGTTCCTGCAGTCGTCCATCTGGGCAAGGAGCTCGAGGGACTGGGGCTGTATTGGCTAGAGCAAGGGGATGGGGGGCGGGGGGCAGTAAGAGAGAAAAGGATGGGACCAGTTAGAAGAGTGGAGCTGCCATCAGTAGGAAGGGAAAGGCTGTGACAGGTGGAGAGCAGTCAGGGCTTTCGTGTGGGTCTGGTGGAGATTTCCGTGAACACCTACGTGGAGGTGTCAGCGGGCTGTTGCACATCCAGGTAGGACATGGTTTAAGGGAGAAGTCTGGGTGGAGGTGGAAATATAATCTTGGTCCTTGCATCACATAGATGGTGTCTAATGCTGTGAGACTGGATAGATCCCTAAATGGTATGTGTAGAGCAGGCTCTCTCAGCTGACTACAAGGTGTGCGTGCGTGTGTGTGTGTGTGTAGGAGCACCCTTGGCCTTTGCCCATTAGATGCCAGCAGTACCACCACCACCATCCATAACAGCCTAAAATGTCACCAGACATTGCCAGATATCCCTGGCGTGCAAGATCCTCCCACTGGTATGGATCTGAGGACTAAACTTAATACAATCTGCCTAATATATAACCACCTCAGACTGGTCAAAACATCTTTGCTCCATTCCTTTTTCCTGTGCTTTCTGGTGCTGGGGATTGAACCCAGGGCCTCAAGCATGCTGAGCATGTACTCGAACCCTCAGCTGCACCCTGGACTACTGCATTTATTCTCATTCTCAGTTGACAACACTCTAAGGACTTTCGTAGGTATACAGAATAATAGGGAAGCTTTAAGTGACTGCTCACATTCCCACAGCAAATTGAGGGTGAGCCATGGGCTGGAACCCAGGGACCCACGAAGAGTCTCATGTTCTAGATGACACTGCCGTGAGGTTTGCTGGTGAGCAGAGGCAATTGGCTGTTCTCTGAACGTGTATTATATACACTTAGTGTTAGGTTGTAGAGACCTCTTCATTCATCTGCAAGGGCTGCAGGAGAATTTCTGCCCAAGGAGGAAGCAGCGCCGAGCCATTCAGGGCTCTGCCTCAGATCTCTGGCAGTTTAGCATGTTCTGTACCAGAAGAAGCTTGCCAGGAGACTCTGGCTCAATATTACACTACAACTCTTTTGAAAATCCAGAGGAGCTAGTAAAGTCCTCCCAGCTTTGCTGGTGTTTGCATTGGCATGGGTCTTGTGTGCATTTTTAAAATAAATTGAGGAAACACTGTGGCCTTAGAAAATGTCTTTGTTGTTTTTAACATACTGACTGAGAATTAAAAGTGTGTCCAGGAACTCTCCCTTTTGTACCTCAACAGCTTCAAAGCTGTACCTTCCATTTTATTTGCTTTGGGTTTCTGAACATTGTTTTAGACTTCTCTAGTACTGGGCATTCTTACTGTTGAAATAGAGCCCCCAGGATTGGCAGTATACTTCATTTTGGTTGTAAAAACTCGTTCCGTTTTTTTTTTTTTTTTTCATTACTGGGGATCAAACTCAGGATCTTGCGCTTGCCAGGCAGGTGCGGTACCACTCCCTGCCCCCACCCCCCCCAAATACTCTTTGAGTTCAGCATTTTAATTTCTGGTGAAAGTTCTCAAAGCAAGACTAGTGAAATTACAAATCCAAACAGCTAAAAGCATAATTCAAAAGTGTGAGAATTTGCCTCCAGGTATAGATGCTCAAGTTTCAAATTACTTGTCCTTAGCTAAGTTTCACATATCTAATAGGACCAGTAGGAACTAAGAATAAGAAGGAGCTGTTGTACCTCTGGGAGAGGGCTGGGACTCCTTAGAGCTCAGCTTAGGGTGAAGCCCTTTCCGGAGTTGTGGAGGTTCCCGCCAAGCTTCAGAGCCTGGAGCTTTTGCTGTGGTGGCGGCATTGCCTAAGAGCCAGTTAAAACCAGCTGCTTACAGAGAGGTAGCTTCAGTACTGTGAGGCCACCCGGATGCTAAGCCTTTGCTAATCCCTGTCTCCAAAGAATTGATGCTGATCACATAGTGACTAGCCTGTGTGAAGGAATGAGAGCCAGTAAAAATAGAGAATATGGAGTTCCAGTTGACTTTTAAGTGCTCATCAGTGTTTGGGAAGAAAAAGCAGTAAGATTTGGAGGAGTCAGGAGCATGGCATCCTGCTGGATGGTGGATTTGAGCTGAATCAGAGAATTACCATGTGCAGGTCACCTCAGTGGCAACCCCAGTAAGGCATTTTCATGGGACACTGGCCGGCAGCCCGGCTGTGGTGAGTGAGGTATGCTTAAAGGGTGGGGTGAATTTCCAAGGAAGACCTTTGAGAGCCAAGTAAAGAAAGTTTCACTAGCGAGATGAAACCAACTGTATAGACTGGCACCAAGGAGAAGAGAGACAGCTCACTCTCTTCTGCCAGCCAGCCAACTGTTGTGAGTAATGTACAGATGAGAAGAGGATCCTGGTCAGGGAAGGATGGGGCAACTTACAGGAGCTGCTCGGAATCTCTGAGAGGAAGCAGGACCAGCAGCCTCACCTGCCTTAGCGGAGGTGCCCTGTGGCCACGTGGCCAGGAGCTGGGATGAGGACCTCTCCTCATGTGTCCTTCCCAGAAGGGCTCTGGGCAGCTCTTTCCTCCCTTTGATGAATCTCCTTACTCTAGGAGATGACCACAAGAGCACTGCCTGCCAGCATCCCACCTGGCCCCTAGCACACCTGGTATTGCAGGAGATCTTTGAGGCTGGAGGTCCACATAGCATAGCACCTTTTCTGAAGTCACTGAAAGCGGGGGAAGTAAGTCTCAGCTAGGATCCTGGATATGCTGGTAGAACTTTAAATAATGTTTTCATTATTTATGTTGGAGTTTGATCCTTCAGGGTGGTTTTTTTTCTTTAAGGCTATGAGAGTTATCTTTGGCCTTGGGTAGCTTGGACAATGGGAGGATATAGAGAGGGTGTAGAATGGGGAAGGAGGAGGGCAGTAGGTGTGTGGGGGTGGTAGAGGAAGGACAGAGTGATGAATGATGGAGCATCGGATGGGTCGGTAGAGGGAGGATGAGTGGATACAGAAGTTCCACAGAATTATAAAGGTTAGTGACGAGCAACATAAAGACAGTTACAGAGAGAAGTAAGTATGTGAAGAGGTTTTACAGGGCTTTTTGGAATATACCCAGGAATCTGGACGTGTGGTGGTTCACACCTGTGATTGCAGCATTTGGGAAGCTGAGGCAGGAGGATCACTGTGAGTTTGATACCAATCTGAACTATATAGCAAGACCCTATCTCAAAAAACCAAAATAATAATAATAAAGATATTCGGGGGCAGGACAAGGGGCTTAGTGATAGAACCTTTGCCTGTATGCCCTACGTTTAATCTCCAGCACCACATACGCAAAAGGAAGTGGGGAGGGGACTATACTCAGCACACTTAGAACTGAGTTAAGCTTTTAAACAGTTTGGTAGTCAGAAGGCTGTAAACTAAGCCTGCCCTGCGATCAACCTTTATGCCTAAAAAGCGTTTTCCTTGTCTTTGGCTGTTTTTCACATGCATCCTTGGCGAAGACACTATGTACACCTTTAAATTTGGGGGAACTCATATGAAAATGGTTGAACATCAGTGTTAGGTCATCTGTAAGTCTCCCCGTGCTGAAGTGGCCCCACTCTGCACCAGCAGGTCTCCCGGACCAGCCAGCAGTCCCCAAGGAGGGGCCGGTTTGAACATTCCTGAGAATCTGCTCCTCATCCTGCCTGTTAATTCCAACAGCCTTAATTTCATTTCTAATCAGTGAGAAGTGTTAATGGGTT